ATTTTTTAAGAATGTGCAATTGCTGTCTTTTACTTTTTGAGAATCTTTATAATGCTGTTGTTTACTTTTTGAGAATGTGCAAAAGTTATCTTTTATTTTTGAAGAATGTGCAATTGCTGTCTTTTACTTTTTGAGAATCTTTATAATGCTGTTGTTTACTTTTTGAGAATGTGCAAAAGTTATCTTTTATTTTTTAAGAATGTGCAATTGCTGTCTTTTACTTTTTGAGAATCTTTATAATGCTGTTGTTTACTTTTTGAGAATATGCAAAAGTTATCTTTTATTTTTTAAGAATGTGCAATTGCTGTCTTTTACTTTTTGAGAATCTTTATAATGCTGTTGTTTACTTTTTGAGAATGTGCAAAAGTTATCTTTTATTTTTGAAGAATGTGCAATTGCTGTCTTTTACTTTTTGAGAATCTTTATAATGCTGTTGTTTACTTTTTGAGAATGTGCAAAAGTTATCTTTTATTTTTTAAGAATGTGCAATTGCTGTCTTTTACTTTTTGAGAATCTTTATAATGCTGTTGTTTACTTTTTGAGAATATGCAAAAGTTATCTTTTATTTTTTAAGAATGTGCAATTGCTGTCTTTTACTTTTTGAGAATCTTTATAATGCTGTTGTTTACTTTTTGAGAATGTGCAAAAGTTATCTTTTATTTTTGAAGAATGTGCAATTGCTGTCTTTTACTTTTTGAGAATCTTTATAATGCTGTTGTTTACTTTTTGAGAATGTGCAAAAGTTATCTTTTATTTTTTAAGAATGTGCAATTGCTGTCTTTTACTTTTTGAGAATCTTTATAATGCTGTTGTTTACTTTTTGAGAATATGCAAAAGTTATCTTTTATTTTTTAAGAATGTGCAATTGCTGTCTTTTACTTTTTGAGAATCTTTATAATGCTGTTGTTTACTTTTTGAGAATGTGCAAAAGTTATCTTTTATTTTTGAAGAATGTGCAATTGCTGTCTTTTACTTTTTGAGAATCTTTAAAATGCTGTGGTTTACTTTTTGAGAATCTTTAAAATGCTGTTGTTTACTTTTTGAGAATCTTTAAAATGCTGTGGTTTACTTTTTGAGAATCTTTAAAATGCTGTTGTTTACTTTTTGAAAATCTTTAAAATGCTGTTGTTTACTTTTTGAGAATCTTTAAAATGCTGTGGTTTACTTTTTGAGAATCTTTAAAATGCTGTTGTTTACTTTTTCAGAATCTTTAAAATACTGCTGTTTACTTTTTCAGAATCTTTAAAATGCTGCTGTTTACTTTTTCAGAATCTTTAAAATGCTGCTGTTTACTTTTTCAGAATGTGCAAGAGTTCTGGCCCGCTGTGACAGTTGACGTCCACAGTCATCACAGAAGCCCCGGAGAAAATGGCGCCAAAAATGACGACAGCAGATTCAAGGCTGTTGGGCAGCAGATTCGCCACGACGTCCTTACTGTGGACGCCTGCTCTCCGGAGTCGGCTGGCGAACCTGAGAATTCAACAGAGTCTCTAGAATTTATTTCAATAAATCTCATGAACTTACTTTTTACCAAATCTCTTTTAGTTAGGCCTAGAGCAAACCAGAGAATAAAAGGGACCACAATTTTAAACAAATCTCTCAATCACACGTTTCAACAAACGTCAGAAAAAAATCCAGATACTCACACAAGGATTAAGTAATGATGTAAACATGTCTAAGTATAGCCCAATGTACTCACTGACCTGGTGGAGAGGTCAAGCAGCTGACCTCTGGTCAGAGACCGTCGTCTCATGGCACCATCATACGTCACGAAGATCTCCAACTCGGGGTCTGTCCGCAGCAGATCTTTGAGACAGTCTGACATGGTTTTGTACCTGCTCAGCTCCATCTTGCCAGGTCTCACCTTCCAGTCTTAGGTAGAATTTTCCACCAGATGGAGCCACCTCATGCCCCGAACGTATTTGTGTACGTATTTGCTGTTGCGGTATTTAAACGTCCCTCTGATTGTTGTTTTTTTGTTACTTAGTGTTCCTCTGAATTACGCATTATTCTGAAGTTTATTTGAACAGAACAGAAGCTTTTATTTATACAAATAAGCACTCTCGCGTCATACTACGTGTTTTAACGGTTCATGTTTCTTCCTTTCTGGCAAGTGTAAAGAAATTAATATCAGCTTTTTACAGCGACCTAGATCAAATTTGACATTTGACAAAAGTGTATGTTTGACCTGGTATCGTATGCTGGTTAAGTGAGTAAACTCGATACTCACGTGTAATGCGAGTGTGGATGTGAGCAAGCAACAGGACACTTTCACAGCTTACTGTTGATGTTTTTATTTAGGTCAGCTAATGTTTGATTGACCTAGTTTAAAGTTGAATTGGTGGTTCTAGTGTCCACTGTTTATGTGTAACACACAGTCTTACTTAAAACTTCGGGGCGGTGGGTATTGGTTATGGAAAATCTTTTCAATATTAATTAAATCTTTTTAGTATTTTGTACCTGGGGTCGTACCCCCACAAGAGCAGGATTTCGTTCAGACTTTTTTCTCCGGGGACGGGGGGACGGGGTCGGTCTACATTTTACGGGAGGGCGGACACTAGTAAAAGTATATGTTTACTTTATAAATTCGATCTCGTTGGGGGGGGGGGGGGGGGCTCCGACCCCCCTCCGAAGAGATGCCTGGAAGAAACTCTGGATGGTGAGGTACAAGTCCCCCGCCCCCCTTTCTGAACTTGACGGTCCATGGGACAAGTAGAGTTCACCTGTTTCTGTGATATCAGCATAAGAAGGGATAGTGTGGTCAGGAAACGCATGCGCCTTTACTCTCTTTAACGTGAGTCAGAGCTGGGATTTAAACTCGACTTTTTGGTATTCAGTCTATGCTATACCATCAAGGTATATGAGATATCAATCAAGATTTGATTGTGAAAGACTATAGATGCCAGGTATATCAGATTTATTTTAACTTTTGCTTGTGAAAGATGATCCTAGAAATTATGCCAAGCCTCAAACACAGATTTTCAACATAAAAGGTCAACAGTATTTCAATCCTGGCTGACAAACTGACATTCAAGATCAACTATTTATATTGATTGGGTAACATAGCAGAATAATTATGACTTGATCAACATAATAAATATATTACCTATGGTCATCTATGGCAAGTTTGCTTTAAAAAAATGAGAAAGTGAAAGCATCTTTGAGGAAAATGGTACACTGAATGCAAGTTTTTAAAATATATCTCATATTTAATAAACATCATTTATAAATGACATGTAACATTTATAACATTTACCAAAAATTAATTTTTATATAATAATCATATAAAAACTGGGTACACAAAAAAGCTGATTTATTTATATAAAAAAGATCACAGATAATTTAAAAACACAATATAAAAATGATCAATTTTATAGCACTTCAATCAACAATACCAAGGCTAATAGAATATGTAAAAATGGCGAGAATAAATTGGTGTCACAATCGTTAAGTTCAAAAGGTCACCAACAATTTGGAGGTTGGGTCAGGTTCAGACCACTGAAAGCTGACAATAAAGTGTACTTAAGTATGTACTGACAATAGCACGTTCAGATAAACTGTATACCATTTCCCTAAAAATATGAACTGACAATGGCAGAGACCAGTCAACTTCTACACCTTCACATGGCACAAAAAGCTTCACGAACAAAGGCTATTTGAAGAGTATTGAAAGAAATTAACATTTAGCCATGCTGGATAATGCAACAGATGTGTATAATATACGACCATTGTATAACTAGCTGGACTGTGTATCATTGGATTTTATGGGGGGGGGGGGGGGGGGGGGGTTACACATTTGCAAACTGGAATATAGTAATATAGGAGAGTATTAACAACTTATGGTAAAAATATTATAAGTAAAATATATAATGTGTTCAGTCCTTGGTCCAGGATAGTCTTGCTACATCAAATAAACACAACACATAAAGATGTTTACACCCAACGTATGGTACCATAATACAAATAATAAACTAGGCTAGAAACAAGAGTTGGTTGAGTCTAGTTGCATGCAGACCATGAACTCAAGGGAGGCTAGGCTACTCCTTTAGGAATTAGATTTGCAGGTGCTGAACCCATGTCAGTATATAAATGAGTTTTCTCCCTTCCCCCTAGCTGGTACCTTGGTGGGAAATCCCACCCCATGCCATCAGGTAGGTCAATAGGTTACTATGTACTCATGCTTTGTATATAATAAATACAATATTTCAGTAAATGTAGATACAGTTTAGATACAATAGGTACAATTAGACAACATAAACTTATATTCCATTAACCATTAATGTCCCGTAACGCCCGCTGCCGCCCGACACCGTTAATGTCCCGTAACGCCCGCTGCCGCCCGCTTAAAATACGCATAAAAAAATTAAATTTGTTTCATTAAAATTTGGCCTACAAATCCTAATTTTTAACTAAACAGGAAGTCGGATGGTTTCAGCATCCTTTTCCGGTCTTATAATTTCAATGGCGCTTTTGAAAGATAAAAAATAATAGCTTCTTTCGATCTCGAAATTTTAGACTCATCTGTCCTTTTTTAGTAGATTTAATATTAAAAATAAAATAAAATAATGCCTCTAAACGTATCTAGGCATGTATTTTATGAATTATTTATCTTAAACATAACCAAATTGATATTTAACTGTTAAATTCGATGCTTAGTTGTTTAGACAAAAATAAATAAAGTTGACTACCGAAAATGACCTGTTTTGAATTTTCTCCGACATTTTTTATTTTTTTACTGTACTTTTACCGAATATAATATATTCTATTTAATACTGTTGGAAAGCCAGGTTTATTCCCAACATTAAGCAGTAGTTTTTATCTTAATTTTCAATTTCATTTAGACAAAAACAAATATTTTGTGAAACTATTCACTTGATCATACAGAGTTATGCTCCTTACATTGGGCCGTCATGGGTGGAGTTTTGGTAGAATGAATGGGACATTAATGGTTAAATTATGAGAACAAAAAATTTTCAAAAAAAAAGAAATGTAAACCCCAAAAAACTTATCACAAATGTATAAATATAATATCACGTCTCTATTTTTAAATCATGTGAAAAACATTTCCTAACATCTTCTACATTGAACTTCTCTTTTCTGCGCATGGCAAGGCAAGTCAGTTGATACAAACCAGACAAACTTTTGACCCCGTCAAGGCTAATATTCTCACAAAATGAGATATCCAGTAACTCCAGACCAGGCAAGCCACTGGCTATAGTAGCCAGGCACGAATCATTCACATCTTTACACTCCGCCACATAGAGCTTTTTCAACTTCTTGAGGTGGCGAGAAATGTGATGAATACCAAGTTCATCAATCCATGTACCACTTAAGTCCAATAGTTCAAGCTGTACTAAGTTTTTAGCTATAACCTCAACATCACTGATTCTGTAGCACCCGTTCAGGCAAAGAGAATTCAAGTCCGTCCATTGGCTGATGTCTTCTAGATCAAAGTTATCTACCCTGACCGTTGAGCTGAGGTTCAAAGCTTTTAAGTTGGGTAGAGATTTATCATTTCTATCCCTGAGCCACCTTGGCCTCCAGGTGGACTTGGTGATGCTAAGGTCTGTTATGGTGGGTGGAAGACAGCCAAGTGTCAGGCCATCTGTGTTGCAGTCATCCAGGTGAAGCAGCCACAAGTTGGGACATCGGATGGAGAGTTCAGTCAGCATCGCATCAGACACAGATGCTTTCCTTCGCTTGCTGCAACCTATACAAATGACAAAAGTTTTATTATTAATCTTATTGATGAATCTGACATTTACAGTAAATCATTTATTAATTTATTTCCACAAGGGAAAAGACACTGGTTTTTTACAACTAATATAGATGGGTAGTGGTGTGGATTAACATCACACATACGACAAAATCATTGCAAACTAGTGAGTGGGTAAAGCTTCAACCATACACTAAGACTAGGCTTGAGTCCCTACAATGCCTCTGTACTGTGCCCACCCAGCTCTAATGGGTACCTGACTTACATTAGGGAAAGTAAAGACGGCTGGGCATAGTTCTGACCACACTATTTCTTCATATGCCGAGGTATTTGAAACAGGTGAACTCTACTTCGAAATGGTACTTTACATTGCTTTTATACACTAAGACTCTGTGTAAATCTCTAACAAATATGATAACATAACAACCTGTATGAACAAAGCCCCGAATCCTCATGGTGAGCAGACAGGGTGAGAAATGGCCTCGGAGAACTTTCCACATTTTTGACAGATCTAGTCTGTATTCAAGTAAGTTTACATGACGCCAAAGTGAATTGTCTTTTACTATACGCCGCCACTGTTTACAAACTCTGAAAATATTACTTAATAGTTAAAGCAGAAACAGCATTATTAGTTAATAGTTTACTAATACTAATAGCAACTGGTAGTTTACTACTACTAATTTTAGTTTAAGTGTAACAACCTATCATCCAAAAAATAGGCTAATTGATTTTTTTTTAGATAGCAAAGCAAATATACTATCGGCACCCCCCCCCCCCCCCCCCCCCCTAAAAGTTTCAAGAACCCCTGGAGATAAAGTCTTAAAGGAACACTGAGTGGTAGATTACGAGACAATGATAAATAATTATTAATTAAATATGATATTGTATTGAATTATGAGATTCAGACTTCTTTGAACTTTGAATGATTAAATTAAAAATATTAATTATAATTAATCTTTTGCGAACTACTCTCTCTAGCTGGATTAGAATATAAAATAATAAGTGAGCATAGATCTAAATTTTAATCAACAATCAGGTCTTACTATCAGGATGATTGAATGAATTTAATCATGAAATCCACCACATCCACAGATTTGAGAATGATGAGTTACATTATCATCAATCAAACATGAAAATGATTAGATGATTCAGTCAGATTGTTAGGATCTAGATCTAAAAATCTAGATCTAGAGAGTCAAAGAACTCAAAGATGTCAAAGAAGAAAGAAGACAGCCTGAGAAGTGCACCAAAGTAGTCAGAGTCAAATTCATGAAATTATAATTAGGCCTATATAATATTATATATAGTATATAGATCTATATCTTATCTATATTGCTTAGTAGATCTAATTAGATCTACCTTCATTTACAATTAAAGAAAAATACTAAATTTCAAACCTTCCAGCAATGCATCTATCTTTAACAGGTAGATATCTAAATATTTCGAGTAAAATATTTTCTGGGATAATTATTATTTTACTTTCGTTAGGTAAGGCCATTTTCTTCGTTTCGCCTAGTTTTAGACCATCGCTCCACAATTTTAAATGTTTCAAATGGCCTATCGCTATCAAAGGCTTACAAAACTATATCGCCACAGAATGTTCGTCCAATATTCTACAACAAATTTAAATAACTCTACTCTGGGTCCGAATGAAATAAAAAAATATTAGTTAATAAACAAACAAACAAAAGTTATAGATATAATATATAAATCTACAAATTTAGATCTAGGACAGTTATTCTAAAATTAAAAAGTGGAAGAATAGCCAATTTACTAATTTATTTATTAAAACTTTACATTAAGAGCAATATAAAAATCTAACTTTTGATTAATTAACATTTGTCCAACTCTTAATGTAAAATAATTTGTCTTAATGTTTGGTGAACCTCATCCCATAGCAAAGAAAGAACTCCATATGCTTATAATTATAACTGATAAATTATCATTGTTCAATTATTTACTAACAATAACATCCAATATATATATACACACACACACACACACACACACACACACATATATATATATATATATATATATATATATATATATATATATATATATATATATATATATATATATATATATATATATATATACATATATATATATATATATATACATATATATATATATATATATATATATATATATATATATATATATATATATATATATATATATATATATATATATATATATATATTATATATATATATATATAGCCTATTTGTTTTGATTTCACATTTACAAAATTGAGTTGGCCAACATTTTTCCAATGTGTGCAGCTAGGTTAAATGATATTTTATTTTATTTGCATTTTTCTTCAGAGTATCATGTCATGTTTGCCTGTCGTCCCTACTGGGACATAGGCCGCTGACAAGAGCTTTCCAGACGTCTCTGTCCAGGGCTAGTCTCTCCAACTGTCCCCAGGTGTATCCAATCTTCTTGGTGTCTTCTTCCAGGTCACGTCTCCAGGTCTTTCTTGGTCTGCCTCTCTTCCTCCTGCCTTGTGGATTCCAGGTGAGGGCCTGTCTTGTTATGCTGGATACAGGCTTCCTGAGTGTGTGGCCAATCCATTTCCATTTTCTCTGGAGGATCTCTACTTCCACTGGCAGTTGATTTGTCCGTTGCCATAGAACATCATTTCTGATGGTTTTAGGCCAGCGAATTCGCAGGATCTTTCTGAGACATGCGTTTATAAATGATTGTATTTTCTTCTTATTTATAGCAGTTATTCTCCATGTCTCAGCTCCATAGAGTAAAACAGGTTTTACTAGTGTGTTGAAGATCCGGATTTTTATTCTAAGGGTTAAATCTCCCGAACCCCAAACATTTTTTAGTTGGTTGAAGACTGCTCTTGCCTTACCCGTCCTTATTTTTATGTCTGCTTCTGTCCCACCCTGCTTATCAACAATACTTCCAAGGTAGGTGAATCTATCCACTTCTTCTAGGGCTTCTTCTGCCAGTGTTATAGGGTTGTTGTTTGATGCATTGACTTTGAGAACTTTACTTTTCCCTCTGTGGATGTTCAGACCCAGGCTTGTAGAAAAATTTGCAACCCTGTTGGTTTTATCCTGCATTTGCTGTTGTGTGTGAGAAAGGAGGGCCAGGTCGTCAGCAAAGTCCAGGTCATCCAGCTGGCTCCACAATGTCCACTGTATACCGTTTCGCGTTTTCTCTGTTGACATCTTCATAACCCAGTCTATGGCCAGTAGGAACAGGAATGGTGAAAGTAGGCAACCCTGCCTTACTCCGGTCCGTACTGGGAAGGCCTCTGTAGTCTGTTGGCCATGCACTACTCTACACTTGAGACCTTCATATGAAGACATAATAATGTTGACTATTTTCTGTGGCACCCCGTAGTGTCTCAACAATTTCCACATTGACTGCCTATCCAGGCTATCAAAGGCCTTCTCATAGTCTATGAAATTAATATAGAGAGATGAGTTCCACTCTTGGGTCTGTTCAATGATGATGCGCAGGGTAGCAATTTGGTCTATGCATGACCTTTCCTTCCTAAAGCCCGCCTGTTGATCTCGAAGCTGGGGATCTATGGCTTCCTTCATTCTGTTTAATAATATTCTGTTGAAGACTTTGCCTGGGATGGACAAAAGTGTTATCCCTCTATAGTTAGAGCATGCACTAAGATCGCCTTTCTTTGGAAGCTTTATGAGTAGTCCCTCCTTCCACTCCTCTGGTATTTGTTCATCTTCCCAGATTTTCTTGAAGAGTGTGTATAGTAGTGTGGTGCTAGTTTCTATATCTGCTGTCAGTGCTTCTGCCGGTATACCATCTATTCCTGGAGCCTTCCAATTTTTCAGCTGCTTTATAGCTCTATGTATCTCTTCTTTTGAAGGTGGGTTGCAGTCTATAGGGAGGTCACTTTCAGCTGGTGGTATGTCTTGCGTGCACTCTGGTGTTGGTCTATTCAGTAGTTCTTCAAAATGTTCTACCCATCTCTTCATCTGTCCTTCCGCATCAGGTATTGTCTTTCCATCTTTGGTTTTCACTGGCCTCTCTGGCTTACTGTACTTACCAGATATCTTCTTAATTGTATTGTACACGTCCCTAATATTACCATGGTACAGTGCTTCTTCCGCTTCTCTTGCCAGCAGTTCCAAATAGCTCCGTTTGTCTTTCCTTATGTGTTTCTTTACATTTTTGTTCGTTTCGGTGTATTCTTCCAGTGCTTTTAATTTCGTAGCCCGTGTGCGGCTGTTGTTTAATGTTGCCTTCTTTCTTTTTCTCTCTTCAATAATTTTCATGGTATCTGCTGATATCCATTCCTTCGCTTGTCTTTTGATAGGGCCTAGCACTTCTTCGCATGTTGATGTTAATATACTTTTAGTTTTTTCCCATGTTTCCTCCATCGTCTCTTCTTCTATTAGTTCTTGTAGTACCTGGAACCTATTGGACATATGAAGTTTAAATTCGTTGAGTTTAGATGGGTCCTTTAGCAGGCCTGTGTTGTACCTGTATTTCCTTTTGTTTTCCAACATGTTTTTCTTCAGCTTGAGTTTTACTTTAGCTACCAGTAGGTGATGGTCTGAAGCAACATCAGCTCCTCTCTTGACGCGTACATCCTGAAGTGATCTCCTGAACTTTTTTATGATACATATATGGTCTATCTGGTTTTCTGTAGATAGGTCGGGTGATACCCAAGTAGCTTTATGTATCCTTTTATGATGAAAGAGACTACCGCCAATGACTAAATTATTTGTGGCACACAAGTCAGCAAATCTTTCTCCGTTTTCGTTCATCTCACCTAAACCCTGCTGTCCCATACATTCTTCATATCCTCTGTTGTCGCTTCCAATCTTAGCATTGAAGTCGCCCATGAGTATAAGTATGTTTCTTCTTGGGCGGTTCTGGATAATGGTCATTAGCCTGTTGTAGAATTCGTCTTTGTCCTCCTCTTTGCTGTCATTTGTTGGGGCGTAGGCCTGTATTATGTCCATGTTTATTCGTCTTATTTTAGTTTTAAAGGTAGCTGTTATGATCCGCGGGCAGTGTGCCTCCCATCCGATGAGAGCCCTTTGTGCTTGATTTGATAGCATGAGTGCAACTCCTTGAGTATGTGGTGCATTTTCATCCTCATGACCTGAGTACAGCAGTAGCTCTCCTGATATCAGCCTTTTTTGTCCTGAGCCAGTCCACCTTGATTCGCTGACACCCAGGATAGCTATTTTATAGCGTCTCATTTCTGCTGCTACTTGGGTTGCTTTTCCAGCTTCGTACATCGTGCGGACATTCCAAGCTCCAATATTGATGGTGGTCCTAGTGGAAATAATGGTGGTCGACCTGGTGGTTTCCAATACATATTGGCTTTCACCACCCGGCTTCATAAATTCTCCATCGGGAGATCCATTTTTCCCCTGGTCCGAGCTGTCTTTGTTTCTCTCTGTCTGCGTTTCTGTAGCGGGTAATTTGTTTTACGAGATAAGGTTGCTGACCTTATGCTCAACCCCCAACCTGGAGGACCAGGGTGCTAGCTTTCGTCTGACCCCTACCCGCGCAGACCTTCCCAGCTTGGTTGAACCTGCCAGGAGTTAACACTCCCGCTGGTATAGCTCTGGGGGTCGTCAGGGTACGCAAGCTGCCAAGCCACGACAAGGCCCTAGCACCAGATGACAGTTCTTCAGAGTATAAGTCACTATAAGTGCTACCATCGTGTGGATAAATTTAAATGTCTACAAATTTGTGGTTCAGCAAAATTATCTTACTCAATAGATTTTGAACCGATTTTTTTTGGCTCTCTTTTAAATGTGTGTTTAGTTTAGTCTTTCATCTTACTAGACTAACTCAATGTTTTTTCTTTTGAGTTTCGTAATTTAGAATGACCTAGAGCTAGAATAGCTACACAACTAAATTTACTTGAACGCATATCACAAAGCATTTCTTATCATTAAATTTCCAAAATATTTTTTTTTATCATTATGTTATTTTAATACGTTGCAGAAACACACACACACACACATACACAATGTCTACGGTTGCGTATTTTTATGATCCCGATGTTGGAAATTTTCACTATGGTAAGGAAGGAAGGAGTAAGAAAGAAGAGAAACTTTTTTCTTTTTATTTATTATTTACTAGATCTAGTATTTAGATCTAGAATCTAGATCTAGTAGTAGTGATAGTGCATCTTCCAGGAAGATTCTTCCTCCATTCATGATTGATGATTCATACCCCCCTCCTCCCCCACCTTCCTATCCAAAATAGTTGAAAATACCTTATCTTTAGGCCTAATTTAAATTTTAATTTAAACTTTAATCTTTGTAAGGCAATGTAAGGGGTATGTTTTAAAATGCCACTAACTATTGAATAATAGAAGACCAATAGAGGAATCTTCTTAACAAAAAAGGGAGGCCTAATTGTCAAAATTGATGGCGAGGCGGTAAATTGCAAGAAGGATGCAATAAACCTTCGGTCACGTGAGATTTTGCCTCGCATTTTACCACCACCTGGTGGTGGTAGGATGTGAAGCTATCTGCAAAACTTTTACTGCGACCGCTTTAAATTTACATTGATATTTTATGCAGACTTCAAAGATGTTTCATTTATATTGTTAAAACTTCTTATGTTTCCGTCACTAGACATTCTGATAAATTGTCAACTTCGCCACCCTTTGTGTAGACTGAAAATACCACCTTGTTCGAAACCATCCATATTACCACCGACGATAGATCAACTTATTTTTTTTGTGTGTAACACTTAGGCAGCTGGCCGCCGGGTTTTTTTTTTGTATTGAGTTAAATATTAACGCAGGTCACATACCATGCATGCAGAGTGCTGTGTGTCGAGCCTTAAACGAAATAGCCAGATCTTTTTTAAAGATCTGGGTTAAAATGTTGTTAAAATTATATATGCCATTTATTGAATGTTTTTAGGGCCAGGTCATCCTATGAAACCTCACAGAATATCTCTCACCCACAGTCTTGTGTTACGCTATGGACTTCACAAAAAAATGAAGGTAACACAGTCATTTCAATTTTTTCCCTAGAATCTAATTTATAAATTTAAAATAAATTGTTCTACTCATTACTCTGGGAAGCTGAATTCAATTAACAAATACAAAATAATGTGAATAATTTAGAAAATGTTTGTAAATAATGTGATGAATTTCCTTGCAGTTGTATCGGCCCTATCAAGCAACAGAGAGGGACATGTGTCGTTTCCACTCAGATGATTACATTCAGTTCTTAAGCTCAGTTACGCCACAAAATGTTCAGAGCTTTACTAAATTCCTTTCAGTCTATAATGTTGGAGAAGACTGGTATGTAATATAAACTATATGACATTGTTTTGTAAAATGTTTAACATTAAGTTAGATGTTTAGTTTAACAATAGTTATTAAAAAATAAAAGTTTTGTTTCACTGATATTGGAATGAGTGTATTTGTTTTTTAAAGCCCAGTTTTTGATGGCATGTTCGACTTCTGCAAAATGTACACAGGTGCTTCGTTAGAAGGTGCAGTCAAGTTAAACAACAATGTGAGTTTTATGTTCCAGTGATTAACTGTATATAACATTTAGATTTCAATATTCTACTTGTGTCTTTTAGTGAATATGTAATATAAAGTATGAAAATGTTTTTTAGATGTGTATCTTCATCAAATAATGTGCCATTGAGTTAAAAAGTAAGCATTTTTGATCAGATAATCAATTTGTTTTTTACAGCAATGTGACATTGCAATCAACTGGTCTGGTGGACTGCATCATGCTAAAAAATATGAGGTAGATAAACATGGCTCACTCTAAATTTCCAAACAGTATTCATCTAAATAATTCTTTGTTGAAAAAATTATCCTTATTTCCTTCGGTTTATTATTCATTTTATTTTTTGAAATGCGCCAAGCCTTGTAATCTAACAATGCTCCGTATTAGTTGTCTGTGTTTTTTGCTTAGTTTTAAAATCTTCATTTAATATAAAACTTATTACAAATTAAATTCAATCAATGTTTTTTCTCTACCAAGGCATCAGGGTTCTGTTATGTGAATGACATAGTCATTGCCATCTTGGAGTTGTTAAAGTGAGTTGCTGTTTTGTTTAACCATTAATCTCCCGTAACGCCCGCTGCCGCCCGACACCGTTAATGTCCCGTAACGCCCGCTACCGCCCGCTACCAACCTGTATCTACTCATAGTAAAACAACTATTATTTGGTCCATAAAATATTGGATTATAGTTTTTAAACAACTATTTAAGGATAGTTAAAAAGTTCAACTTCCTTTTACAGTTTACCAAAACGAAATATAATTGTAAACACGCGAGTTAATGATTTTACAAAAAAATGGATTTTCATAACTTTGTTCAATTATCTTCAACGTTTTCAGGTAACAATACTAACATTACTAATATGAATGCAGATAGATCTAGTAGTGAATCGGGTGAAAGTGACATTGAGTGTGAGGAAGGTGATATTGCTAATAATGAACTAGATCTAGATCTATCTGATACTGATGATTTATTAAACCCTGATGATGGTGACGAAGTTTCTCTAGATGTAGATAACCCATCTTATAACTGGAGTGATGATCTGAATCCAGTGGAAATAGAGATGTTTACTTCTGGTGTTGGGCCCAATATGGGGGATATAAACTTAAATTATAAGTCCCAACCAATTGATTTTTTTAAGCTTTTCTTTTCTGATGAATTGTTAGAATTGATTGCTAACCAAACTAATTTGTATGCTGTGCAGGCTAGTGCCAAAAACTTCACTCCGGTATCTATGATCGATGTAAGCACATTCATTTACATCAACATGATGTTTGGCATACACAAACTGCCTGCATACCACCTTTACTGGTCAACAGATAATTTATTTAGGGTACCCTGTGTGGCAGATGTCATGTCCAGAAATAGATATCAGGAAATAAGTAGATATTTCCATTTGGCTGACAACACTAAGTATATACCTAAGGGACAGATAAATTATGATCCCCTATTCAAGATTAGGCCCGCCATTACCACCATACAGTTTGCATGCAAAGAATATTTTAGACCTGGTACAGCTATATCTTTTGATGAAGCAATGATTCCATTTAGGGGTAGACTGTCATTCAAACAGTATATTAAGGGGAAGCCTCACCCATGGGGGGTAAAAGTTTGGTGTGCCTGCGACTCTGCCACTTCTTATCTTCTCGATTTTGAATTTTATGCTGGTAAATCCGACACGGCTCTACCCAATGGACTTGGATACCATGTTATATGGTCTTTGGGTCAGCGTTTCCTACACAAATATCATCATTTTTATTATGATAATTTTTTTTCTTCGATAAAATTATCGGTGGATTTGATGACCAACGACACCTATTCTTGTGGAACTATTCGCCAAAACAGAAAGCACTGGCCCAAAGAGCTGACAGGAAAATTAAAAGTCAATCACTGTGAGTGGAGGCAAATAGACAATTTAGTTGCTTGCTGGTGGAGGGATAAACGTGCCATTTCAATGTTGTCCACCAATGCATCACCTGTTTGGAACACAGCTTCAAGGCGAACAAAGGATGGCGCTGCCGACAAGCAGATTCCCCAGGCAGTTCTAGTGTACAATGCTAATATGGGAGGTGTAGATAGGCATGACCAACTCAGGTCCTACTATCCAATTGGCAGAAAGAGCCATAAATGGTGGAGATGCTGCCTATGGTTTTTGCTTGAGGTGGCTGTTTTAAACTCATACATACTATTCTGCAACATACCACGCCCCCCTACAGTGAAACCACTAACCCATCTACAATATCACATGAGTGTTGCCCGTAGCTTGATGAAGGGCTCATCTAGGAAGAGGATCCAGAGAGAGTCTACAACTACAGTTGGATTGGCAGTATCTGGTGCTTCTGTTGAACACCACAGGATTAGGCTCCCTGGCCGCAAAAAAGTGTGTTACCAGTGTCGCCAGAAGGATGTCCGCACCGAAGGAAGTAGGAGACCAGAGACTGTTTTTGGATGTGTTTTGTGCAATACACATTTATGTGATGAACTCTGCTTTGCCCAGTTCCATGTTCAGCTCAAATAAATTACATTTTATGTTATTTAAATAAAGAAATAGTTATCTAAAATGCAGTTTTTTGTTTTTTTCGTGTTTTTTAAATTTATTTTGCAAATACCTATATGTTAAATACTGACATATTTGGTATCAGTTTTTAGAGCATTCAATTCTCTACAATATAAGATTTTTTAAAATTTAATTAGTTATTTACTGAAATGAGTTTAATTGATTGCTGTAAAATTAGTCATTTAATCATTTAGAGTTATTCCCCTTACGCTGGGACTCCATGGTTGGTAAACTTGGAGATGCTATGGGACATTAATGGTTAAGAAAGTCCACTAACGGTTTGCCCAGTATGATAAGTGCTGACACAAATATTTTTTATATATTCCAACAAAAATGCTTTGTTAGACCATAGAAATTTTTTAAAGTTTTAAATATGAGACTTGTATAATTAATTAATAATAATTAATATTATTATTATTTAGACTAATAACATACATCTTAGAAAAATATATCCATCCAATAGAAGGGTATCTTCACCATTTATATAATATTTAGAAATTTTCCCTACATTTAATTAGATACACCTTTGTGTGCTGTATATTGACATTAGAATATTCCCTACATTTGATCAGATACCACCCTCGTGTTCTGTATATTGACATTAAAATGTTCCCTACATTTGATCAGATACCACCCTCGTGTTCTGTATATTGACATTAAAATGTTCCCTACATTTGATCAGATACCACCCTCGTGTTCTGTATATTGACATTAAAATGTTCCCTACATCAGATACCACCCTCGTGTTCTGTATATTGATATTGACATCCACCATGGAGATGGGGTGCAGGAAGCCTTTTATTTAACAGACAGGGTCATGAGTGTTTCCTTTCATAAATATGGCCAGTATTTTTTCCCAGGAACAGGTAAATAAACAATAAATTTTTGTTTTTTCTTCTTTGGTCTAAAACTTTAAAAGTTTGAAATGTTACCATTCAATTAGGTATAGGAAAGTTATAGACAGTGTGGTTGTTATCACTACATTGTTTGCTTCTCTTTAGGTGATATGTATGAAATAGGAGCAGAAAGTGGCAGGTATTACTCTGTGAATGTACCACTGCTAACTGGAATTGATGATGCTAGTGAGTATCAACAGATTACTTTGGATTCTTTAAATGTGTTTTACTGCCGTGTTATAAAAATACTCATTGAGTTAGTTTCTGTGAAAAGTTGGTAACGTAAAGTTTGAGAATCATTCATTTTGTCATTTTTTAATGGTTTTTATATTTGTTGAACCAAAGTCAGATTTTACAATTAGAGTTCTGATAATGTAATCCTCAAATTATTTTAAATAATTCTACTAAGCCAGGATAATTTTACTCTCAATTTTTAGGCTACATGCAAGTCTTTAAGCCAATTATAAGCAGTGTCATGGAGTTTTATAGACCAACAGCAGTAGTTCTACAAGTAAGATTTTTGTCTTTCTTTTCTTGCTTTTAGGCTTTTTATCTTTGTCAGACTTTTTCTTACCAAACATTTTGTCTTAATCTTTATCAGATCTTCCAAGTTTTCTTACTTCAACTTTTATTTTTTTTCTAGTGCGGAGCAGACTCTCTTGGTAGTGACAGGCTTGGATGTTTTAATTTGAGTATAAAAGGCCATGGGTGAGTACCTCGCTGTTCAATACAAATATTTGTTTACTAAGCTTTGTGTAGTCACCACTGGTTAGAAAACATGTCAACATGTTTAGCAACATGTTTAATGCCATGTGAATATTTTGTATTTGTGATCTGTAATCTAAGTTTGATGTGGTGTGTTCACATTGTGTACACTTGGCATTTCATTTATCAATGGAATCATGAATAACTAAACAGCTTAATAATTAATTAGTGGGGTATGTGAAGACATTCAACTTTTTACTATAGTGAGTGTTGAGTATTTAAAGTCATTCAACTTTTTATTATAGTGAGTGTTGGGTATTTAAAGTCATTCAACTTTTTATTATAGTGAGTGTGTTGGGTATTTAAAGTCATTCAACTTTTTACTATAGTGAGTGTGTTGAATATGTCAAGTCGTTCAACTTTTTACTATAGTGAGTGTGTTGAATATGTCAAGTCGTTCAACTTTTTACTGTAGTGAGTGTGTTGAATATGTCAAGTCATTCAACTTTTTACTATAGTGAGTGTGTTGAATACCTCAAGTCATTCAACTTTTTACTATAGTGAGTGTGTTGAATATGTCAAGTCGTTCAACTTTTTACTGTAGTGAGTGTGTTGAATATGTCAAGTCATTCAACTTTTTACTATAGTGAGTGTGTTGAATACCTCAAGTCATTCAACTTTTTATTATAGTGAGTGTGTTGAATATGTCAAGTCATTCAACTTTTCACTATAGGGAGTGTGTTGAATATGTCAAGTCGTTCAACCTGCCAGTGCTGGTGCTGGGTGGGGGAGGTTACACTAAAAGAAATGTGGCTCGCTGCTGGACTTATGAAACAGCTGTTCTACTAGAGGAACAAATCAGCAATGAAATCCCTTACAATGGTCAGTTTTTCTCTTCACCATACTAGAGCCCAACATCTATACACCTATATGTGTAGGTTTTGTAATAAAATAAATTATTGTAAATTACTGTAGAATTATTGTATACTAATTAACTTGATAACTATAATTATTTACAACACTGAATACAATTTTCTATTACGCATTTTATATATTTACATGTTTCTCTATTCTGGTTTTTATCTCAGCATAATCTAAGTTAAAAACTTTTCTTTTTGCTTTGTGATACCTTATTTAATTTACATTCTCCTCCTCTAATAGAATACCTGGAATATTTTGGACCAGACTTTTTGTTGCATCCTGAAATATTTACCAAGCAAGATAATTTAAACACAAGACAGGCAAGTTTTGGTTTGTTGTTTAAAGTCTGATTAATATTTTTCTTTCCCACTAATCATGAAATACTATTTTATTTTGTTTACATAATTTTTGAGCTTAAGTAATTTTTATCCATTTATTGTCATATCTTCTTTATTTTCATGTGTATTGTTTAATAATTGTTAGAAAATTTTCTTGTTTAGTATTTAGATAACATCAAAACCAGCATTCTGGAGAACCTGAAGATGCTGACCCACGCCCCTAGCGTCCAGATGCAGGACATTCCATCAGACCTGCTCAGCCTGGAGAACACAGAGGAAACGGACCCTGACGTGAGAAACTCAACGGATGACCTGGATAAAAGGTATACATTGTTATAGTGTTCAGTGCACCATACTCATTACACTTAGTTTTCATGTTTTATGCTAATTGTTTCTCTAACCATATGAAATACAGTTAATTTTTTTAAAATTTCAAAGTTGGTTTTAAATACTATTGGCAAAATAATGAATAAGCGTTTATCATAATACAATAGAACTCAGGATAAATGCATGTCTTAATTATAAACCAAGTCAACACAATACATTCCATAATCCCATTTTAAAATGCAATAATTTAATAATTATAATTGTTACAGAATTGAGCCGAACAATGAATTCTATGATGGCGACAAGGACAATGATAAGGAAAATGATGGTTTTCTTGACGTCTGATATTTTAACATGGACATTTCATTTGTTTATTTTAGTATGTACATACATCCCTAACTCACTGCCACAGGAAATAAAAACACTCGCTTGCTGACTGTTTATTCTTAGTTAAAACAAGAGCTTGTTGACACCCTATTGTGTGTTGATGAAATAGCTTTATGTATAAAGTTAATGTTAACTGAAAACCATGTACCAATGACACAGTAGGTACAAGAGTTTGTCTATGTACCTGTTTTTTAACTTTTGTATATATGTAAAAATAGCAGCATTATTTTTATTTTGTTTGATATTTTGTATTTAAAAATTACTAAAACTGATTTTGTAATTAAATTTAATTGGAAGAATAGTTTTAAAATGGACTTAAGTAAATTTGTTATTTTCATCTCTTTGAAAGTTTGAAGAACCACCAGAAAACTTTTGTAATCTGAATCTGTATGATGTTGTGGTTAGAAGTTACATTTTTAAAGATACATTTGTATGTTGTAACCCAAATATACTTTATAACTAAATGACAGTTTGATAGACATTTGTCAGAATTTTATTTGAAATGTATCACAATATAAATGTTACTTATGTTTTAAAAAAAGCACTTTACCTATATTGTAGCAAACGAATAAAATACCTTAATAAAACTCTCCTAGCAAAAACATCTGGTTATGTTGTAAATAAATGGTGACATGGGCAGATTGCTGTTTAACCCTCCTAGCCTTTCAAACATGAATGACAGCTGAACTAGTTGATTTACAATTTGTTATCTACCCTACTTCATGTAAACTTTGAATTGATGTTATAAAACTATTGTGACTTTTATTGTACTAGTTGGTTTTAATTCTGTTGTTATTCCTGTGTTTAAAAATTGTACCTGCTTTAAAGAATCTTAGAAAGTTCTGTTTAAATCTGCTCATTATTCATTTTATCTACAAAATGTGTACATAGTTGTATAATTAAAATTGTCCGTCATCTATTTGTGTTATCTTTGGTTTTTTTTCACTCGTGAGCTTAAAATAAAGGGAAACAACTTCTATTCACGTACAGTTTCATTTTAAAATCGGTTACCTACCCTGGTTTACAATCTAAATTTGTTGTCACGGCTTATTGGGATGGAAATAAGCGGTTTAATAAATTACCAGAGCCACATAACTTTTTACAAAGTTAATGACGGAATAGTGTACATGCAAAAAAATGAAATATTACAACAAAATACCTTCAATAGTTGTTGGCTATATATACATATGTAATCAATGTTCAAAGAAATTAACATATCAAACAAGTAGTTAAATTTGATTACAGCTCATTCGTAAAAATTGGATCACATAAATTTAAAAAAAAACAACAATACTATATCTGAATACCACGTAACCGTGGTGCAGATGGTGCGACGTCACACTTTTGCATTATAAAAAAAAACAAATGTTAGAAAACGTATTTTGGACGTTATTTCGCGTTTTAGAAAACTGTTTTAATAAATTATAATAGCAATTGCTTAAAATACTCTAGTTTTACAGAGTTCAGACAAGATTTTAGAAAAATGTCGATGTTTAAAAATATTCAACTGCAATTTTGAGGGGTGTTGTAGGCTGAGGTGTGACGTCATTTTAGGGGGGGGGGTCTGGCTTTTTGTGACGACATGTGACGGAGGGGAGGGGGGGGACGGGAGGTAAAAATCGTCAAAAAAGCGTGACGTCATTTATGGATGACCCCCTTAACTCTAGGGGTCGTTGGGGCACCATCTGCCATCTGTCTCGGTCCTCTGCTGCTCTCAGTAGTTCAGCTACAGGCAGTTTAGTCTAATCTTTGATGTCATCCATCCACTGACGTTTTTGCTTTCCCCTCCTCCTTCCTCCTGACCAGTGCCTTGAAATATTGTTTTGGACATACCACCTAAATTCTCTTGTTTAAACCATACTAGGAAGACTCTCAAAGGGGGCCACTCGCATTAGTGATCCTTTTATGGATTTCTTCATTTTTTATGTGATCTCTCTATGAGATCTCTAGAAGTTAGAAGTCTGCGTAGCATTTCATCAGGGTCTGGATTCTTCTTGCAGGTTCTTACATAAATAAATGGTTAATAACTAGATCTAAACTCTCTTATTTTAAGAGAATAAACCCGACACTAACTACTTGTGTCGTACTAAAATTTCCCAAAATAATATATTGTGAACATTTTAAAGCATATTTTAAAAACATGAATTGAAACAACAGCAATGAATACATTTCTCTCAGCTGTTGTGAGCAGAAGCACCCACTTCGGAATGCTAAAAAGGTTAACCGGAAGTTTATTTATAACCTCAATGTAGGCCATCATGAATAAATTATCTGTCACACGACAATTTGACATGTCGAAGTCTCCACAAAAATCAACACACATTATAAATCACTACACACGAGTGTTTTCATAGAGGCGCGCAGAGTCAAACATGGCCTCCATTAATGAATGAATTCCCAGATGGTCATTAAATTATAAATATTAGTTGGTAGCCAACACACAATTAAAATAATTTGTTTGAATCACACGAGTGGCTGCTATAGATCAACAGTGTTACACAGCAACTGGTTAGAAAATATATGTGCCAACGAGTTTTATTTTATAATAAAACTGCATTTAACTAAGATGTTGTTCCGACGAGTTCGTCTCTCACACAAAAGCTATCCGTTTTTTTTTTTGTTAATTTATAACGATCCGGATGAGCTGTGCAAGCTTACAGAGATAATCATCTGGAGAAACCTCTGCTTTAAATAATGCGTTTTGGCTACATAGTGGATACAATTTATCTGGTTATCTGGCAGGTCTGGCGGCACAGGCTAGGCTAATCCATGAGTTGAACATTGAAACTCAAACACATCCTCAGGTAGCTAACGTCATTCATGACGTCCCCAGCTGTGTATGTCGCCGAGAAGGTCCTGACTAGCTTTGGGCATTTCATCGCGTGCTCTCACTTTGTGATGTTGTACGTGTGTCACACGTGTGTTCTTCTGTGTGTGACACGTGTGGCGTTTTGTTTGTGACAAGTGTGTTACACGTTTGTTGTTCCGTATGTTACACATGTGTGTTCCATACACTACTTATGTGTTGTTTATCCCATATGTTACATATGTGTTGTTCCATATATTACACGTGTATTTTCACATATATAACCAATGTCTTGTTCATATGTTGCATATGTGCTCTTCTGTGTTACACTATGTAGTTCCAAATACGTGTGTAGAAATACGTGTGTAGTTTCATACATTAAACGTATACACTTCCATATGTTCCACGTGTGTTATAAGTTCCCTATGTTAGACGTGTGAAGTGGACTTAAGCCCAGCAAAGCTTCTGTACGTGTCGTACGACTGCCCGGCTCCCACCTGACTGTGGTTGGTCTGCATGAGCTCGTGAGACGGGGAGTCTGCCCAGGGGTCACGTGAGCACTGTTTGCAGGCACACAGTGAGGCGGCCAGCTGACCGATGCTGTTGCGGATGTTCTTGGACATGAGGACATAGATGATGGGGTTGATGCACGACTGGATGTACGGGAGCATGTTGATAACGATCTAATGGAGAGAGGTGGAAACAGTTGAAGCTAATAAAGGTGATAATAAAGATGAATAAACGGTTGGGACAGAAATTATTGGTACAGAATAGGGTTGGTACAGAACAGGGTTGATAAATGCAGGGTTGGTACAGAACGGTTGATAAATGCAGGGTTGGTACAGAACAGGGTTGATAAATGCAGGGTTGGTACAGAACAGGGTTGATAAATGCAGGGTTGGTACAGAACAGGGTTGGTACAGAACAGGGTTGGTAAAGAACAGGGTTGGTAAAGAACAGGGTTGGTACAGGACAGGGTTGATAAATGCAGGGTTGGTACAGAACAGGGTTGATAAATGCAGGGTTGGTACAGAACGGTTGATAAATGCAGGGTTGGTACAGAACAGGGTTGATAAATGCAGGGTTGGTACAGAACAGGGTTGATAAATGCAGGGTTGGTACAGAACAGGGTTGATAAATGCAGGGTTGGTACAGAACAGGGTTGGTACAGAATAGGGTTGGTACAGAACAGGGTTGGTACAGAATAGGGTTGGTTCAGAACAGGGTTGGTACAGAACAGGGTTGGTACAGAACAGGGTTGATAAATGCAGGGTTGGTACAGAACAGGGTTGGTACAGAACAGGGTTGATAAATGCAGGGTTGGTACATAACGTGATGTACGCTGTACGCTGATAATAACTGTATCGACACATCTGGCAATTTGTTAACTATAAGAAGTCAACATCGGTTCTAATAGACGACAATACAACAGTTCTTCAAGTATCCCCTTGACAAGTTCTTAACATTAACGTAAAACAAAGTTTCCTCCCCTGTTTAACATCCCTCCTCCCAACTAATGGACACCAGCGAGAAAAGTCTCAAAGGTATTTGAGAGGTGTATAAATTCATTTGAAAATCTTGCACGGCGTAGTTACAATTAATATGGTTATAAAATCCTGTCTGTCTGGTTTTTTTCGGACTTTACTAAAGATTGGATGTATTTGATGTTTTTAATATTTTCGGTAACTAAATAAAAATTAAAAAAAAAGCAAAAACAATCTGGTTTTCACGTGTAATGGCGCCATAAACAATGGCCGACATAAATTTTATTGTACACATTGTAAGCTAAAAATAGAAAAAATAGGTCATGGTGTTTAAATTTGCATAGTTATTTAAAAACTTGATCTGCAAAGTTTTGTAAACAAAATAACTATCAAGTGGGGCTGTCAGAAATCGATCACGGAGTTCCTTTACAGCCAATCAATGTTTGTCTTACGAAAGGCTTGATGAAAATAAATAGAAATGTAGCCTTAAACTCAACAAATTATTTTCAAGTTCTCTGGATCTGCAACTTGGATAGCATTGATTCTAAAAATATTACATTTCTGAATTAATATTAGGCTTAAGTTTTTAATAAAATTTTATCTTTTATTAGTTTTATGGTCCTAAATCTAAAAAAGCACATTTTTATTCCATGTCAACAATATTACGGAAGGAATCTCGTCAACTCGCTGGTGTCCATTGAGCATCGGATGAGAAACATAACAGTGAGACTCATTCTAGACTTTTCTGTTGGGTTGATACAGAAGGGCGGGGAGTGCCGTGGTTTTTTTTAATGTGCCCTTATAATATAGGTCATCTAGCCATCACACGTTTATGATAGTATTGACTTTTGCTATACTTAAACACTGACTTACTTATAATTATATAACTTATAACTATAACTTACCCACAATATCTAAACAATGAAACACTAACTTATAATTTAAAAAGAAACAATGACTTATCCGCAAGTTGTAAACAATGACATACCTACACAATGTAAACAATGAGTTACCTGTAGTAAACTACACGCAAGTTGTAAACTAAGACTTACCGACAAGTTATAGATGACAGGATGGAATAAAATCGAAGGAATACACTTCTTCAAGACCTGCATGATTAGCTTAGGCCCCCAGCAGATGAGAAACACGACGATTATGATGACAAGCATCTTGATCACCTAAGATAGATCGGTATCGATCGTAGGGATAAAAATATTATTTAATTTAGAGAGCGTTTCCTAATTTATAAAATTACACATAAAAAATATTTTTATATTATTTTTATTTATATTTATACGTAAATAGTTAAAGTACACAATGCCAGTTACAAAATGAAAAAAATGCCATAAAAAATATGAAAAAGTCTCCTTCTGGTGAACAAATCGTGGATTCGCAAAGAAGAATAAAAACGAACAAAAACTGAAGTGCTATCATGCATAACATCTCTAATACTAATAATCTTTTCTTAAAAACATGTCACATGTTTTAAATACTTATGTAGAAAATAAATACCTACTCAAACCAGTGCCACCGCCCTGCTAGTTTCAACCCCCCCCCCCCTGCCAACTCTGAGAAAAATGTATGAAAGAAACCCTGCTTCTGATTTAATGATTTAATGCTAGAAAACTTAATATCATAATCATATAGAAAAAAAATCCACAATTTAAGACAAAGTGTTATGAAATAGAGAAAAGTGTAAATAAAAGTTGAAATGTCAGTTTTCTTTATTCACGAAATGGTAAAACATTTCACAGAGCGATATTTTCTAGAAATAAATTATTGACTTTCATTTTTGCAGTGCCATTTCACTGTTCAGTTTTGTCACGATCCAAAAATAGATCATTATTCCGGGCACTAGAATCGCCCCGCCCCCTCCCCTTCCTGTCGTGACATGAGCGGTTAATTTGTTAAAAACCTGAAGGCCGGGACTGTTCTTTTGTCCCTCGAGTCACATGACCGGCTAACTCACACACACAAAAAAACACAAACTCAAGGCGAGGCAGAGAATTGAACAATAGCAGCAGTTGAGAAACTCACTTGTCTTCGCGCCGTCAAAGCTTCCTCCCCCGCCCGCAATGATGGACTCGACCTCAATCGGGACTGCGGACTTCCGTTTCTCAAAGTTACTTGGTGATTGTATTCGATCCGTGTGGTGCCAAATCTGGAATGGACAAGGATACACATGTCTGCTTAGGATAGAATTATTTATACCAAGACTACCCCCCTCTCATTTCTCAAACATACACATTCTTAAAAGATTCAGTGCCGATATTTTTTAGTCGGTTGAGTGGTTGAGTTTCTAGTTAAACTACGATGGGTTTGGGTGATTAGGAGTATGACAGTCTCCTATTTCTACAATTTTATTCGACCATAGTTAGCCTTGGGCACGGTGTGGTCGGGTGTTAGAGCGTTCGGCTGCTAACCCGAAAGTCTCGAAGTATGATCTCGGTCGGGTCTGGAGTCTATAGGGCATCCTTGAGTCCACCCAGCTCTGATGGGTGGACTCTACCACATTTGTCATAAGTATCTTTAGGTCTGAAAGAAATTTTACTTTTCTGTTTATAGTAAACCTTACATTTCTATATTCCTTATTTCAAAAAATGTTTTAATACAATGCATTGATTCAAAATTGAAAACAAAGATATTATAAACAACCTCGTTATTAAGACAATAGATTATCCCATGCTCAAATACATTTTCAAGGTTAATTTACATTATTTGGTTCAGCAAATTCAATGTGATTTATAAAAAAACCCTCTAATTAACCTTCAATGCGGTTATTAATTGCAAAAAAAAAACATGTGAAGAAGACGCACCGATCCGTTAAAATTTAAAAACACCATGAAACTAAGTGATGAAATAAGGAGATCTAATGATAGGAAATCCGATATATTGCAACACGCTAGTTTAAAAGAGATTTTAGGAGATTAAATGGTGTTTATTACAAGCTTTTATTTAACTGACTTCCTCTGTCTGTCGTCAGTCTGTCGTCAGTCTGTCTGTCTGTCTAGATCGAAACGCCCGTGTGAAATTGCAGGCACTTTTAACTGACAGATACGGTTCGTAGTTGGTACGTGGGTCAAGACATGAAGACAATGCATAGTGACATTCAATTTGACTTAATTGGTCGCCTAATTAATTTTTTATGAATTAATTATTGAAGTGTTTACTTAATGAAATTTGTATAGTTCTATTTTGAAAGAATTTGCATTCAATGGAACCTTAATGGTCCTTTTCCAGTCCTCTAGTAATCTCTCTGTATAGAAACCACTGGTTTATAGAGTGAGGTCATGCATGGGGCTTCCAGTCAGCCCGACCCTGCTTCCAATGAGCTCAACATGAATCAGCCTCACATACCCTAGCTCCAAAATCTGGTAGGTTGTCGTGCGCCATTTTTTTTGCATCAGTTATTGATGGTAGTAGAATGAACAAAGCCACTGGAAATCCCGCGTAATACCTTGAATTTATGACACTTCGTGCACGCTCTACGCATGCGCCGTGATGTGGGAGAGGAAGCATCGCGTGATGGGCAGACGGCATAAGATAAAGCCAATACACTCTGACAAATCGGATAGGATAGAGGAACTAATGCTGACTTGTATGTTCATGAATAAGTAAAATATAAAAAAAATTCTGCAATATACCATTGAGCAATACTTTTTATGAAACAGGAAAGGCCGATTTGTTATGGCTGCTTACATAAATATGTATAAGTTCCAGGACGAGTTTTTTCCACTCTTAGGCCATGGTTATCTTATGAGATAGTTGGTGCCTCAATTAAGTGGCTAGCAGTGTTTCTTCCAGACTTTTTTATCCGGGGGGCACTTGAAATCTTCGGGGGGGGGGGGGGCGGTAAACTTTCTTCGGGGGGGGGGGGGGGGCGGACACTGTTAAAAGTATATATTTTCTATATAAATTATATAAATTTCATTTCGTTCGGGGGGGGGGGGGGGGGGGGGCGGTAAAAAATTTTCGGGGGGGGGGGGGGGGGGCTTCGCCCCCCCGAAGAGATGCCTGGAAGAAACTCTGGTGGCTAGAGGCCCCCCCCCCCTATAAGGGGAGTTGGTGTCTCAGTTAAGTTGCTAGAGCCCCCCCCCTATAAGGGGAGGTGGTACCTCACTAAAGTGGCTAGAGCCCCCCCCCCCCCCCCTATAAGGGGAGTTGGTACCTCACTAAGGTGGCTAGAGCCCCCCCCCCCCCCCTATAAGGGGAGTTGGTGTCTCAGTTAAGTGGCTAGAGCCCCCCCCCCTATAAGGGGAGTTGGTGCCTCAGATAAGTGGCTAGAACCCCCCTCCCCCTATAAGGGGAGTTGGTGCCTCAGATAAGTGGCTAGAGCCCCCCTCCCCCTATAAGGGGAGTTGGTGCCTCAGATAAGTGGCTAGAGCCCCCCTCCCCCTATAAGGGGAGTTGGTGCCTCAGATAAGTGGCTAGAGCCCCCACCCCCTATAAGGGGAGTTGGTGTCTCAGTTAAGTGGCCATCAACACCGTATAAAGGAAACTAGGGCCTTATGTAAGACTCCTTCCATCCCTGTTGCAGTTGCAATTCTGTTAGTTTTACAGCAGTTTATTTATTTTTCTAATCTAACATGTATTTGGTTTGAGTCCGGCTTATCGTGTGTCCATTCATGCTGATCTCTACAACATTTGTATGGTCTCATGGCAGACAGATGTTGATTGGCTCTCATACACTGTATGGAAATCTTGAGCTGACTACTCCATTGTTGGTTGTTTAAAATTCAAGTTAATTCATATTTTTCTATCTTACATAACTGGGCATGTATAGCATTCCCATGGCATGATTAGCTCATATGTCATAACAAGCAATACTGATGCTATGTAATCGTGTTTTTATTAGCTCGCCCAACAATAAATCCAATAATAAAATATAGAATCGCTCACTCAATAACAGGCAAACCCATATTTTATAATCATAAGTTTTCTCAAAGTTCCGTTATAGTCTTCATTAATAATATGGTAAATGTTAAAGTAAAATTCATTATAAAACATTGTACATTTGATGGTAAAACTACTTCTACAAGAAACTAAACTTTGACTTTGATATATAACTGCGTTCGCATTGTTTCATACTAATGCTGAATTTCCTTTAGAAAACCTATAGTAACTTACAAGAATGATCTCATTATTCCCGAACTTAGTACGGGTTTACTGCTAGTAATCTACTAAATTATATCTAAGCTTTTCTCCTTCCACACATTGACAACTACATTCAAATTACGTTCGCCTTATGAATACAAATAGCCTCTAACTAGTGTGGGGGCGTGTCGTTACTGTACCAGCTCTATGCGATAGGAATCGGATATAAAACTCAGCCCCCAGTGTAGATCTCTACACAATTTAGATCTCCATTTCACATTTTTATTATGAGGAATTCTTCGCTGCACGATTTTCAGGAAAAAAATATTTAGTGCAATATTTTTTTAAAATGGTATGCAGCTATGTTGGTTAGAACTAGTATGTACGTTTTATTAACATACCCAAACATCTACAACATCAAAATGTATTCAACATTTATCAACATTCTAAATTTATAAGTTATTTCAAATAACTGTATTTTTTTTTCTAGTAATTCAATGTTATTTCAATACAACATTAAAGTATTCCAAATATTGTGAATAGTCGACAAGTAAGAAAACATAATTTCATCCGTATATTCGAAACACCAGAGTTGGTGCATGAAAGATCCCGTCGTCGTAATTGTGACAATAAAATACCCAGAAGGTGATAAGGTTATCAAAATTATTATTCTCTAATTATCAATTTAAATTTAAAAAAAAATGTAGTTTTCAAATGTTTGTATAGGTTATTTGCATTTTGGCCAATAAAATAAGCAAGAGTCATTATGTTTGTGGGTTTTGCACATGCTTTATCTGAAACGTATTTTTTGCAAAATATTTTTAACACATTTCTCAGAGTTAACTTTACTTTAAAACGTTTTTTTTTAAAAATTATACCTTGCCCTAAGAGACTCCTTAAAATAAAAAATAAAAAGAAGTAGTCCTTTTTTTATAAATAAGGAAGACGTACCTCGAATGTGACGTCATCGTCTGTAGCTGCCTCGTGCTGAGCCAGAGGATGCAGATGACCCGGATGTAGCAGAAGAGCAGGATGCAGGTGGGTATGACGAACAGACTGGACAGCTTCCAGAAGGAGTAGGCCAGTCTGTCCTGACTGCCCACACCGACGTCAGCACACATGACGACAACCACGGAGGTCGTGTTGTTGTAGTACTTGTTGGTTTCCGTGTCCTGAAATTAATTAAGTTTAATAATTGATTGCAATTTAAATAATGGATGCTTGAGAGAGCCTTAAGTTTTAAAAAGATACCACAAGGGCAGTAACTGACATAACCGGAAAATTCAAGTGTGTGTATAACTTTCTTCGTTCTTAATTTTGGTGTTGGAAAGGATACCCTCCAACACAATTAAGTATACGTGGCAACTGGTTAGGCGCCATTGACTCCGATTTCAGCCTGCTTTTCTTTTTGGATTTGCTTCCATAGCCTTTGTCCAACCAAGAACAAACTACAAGGCAGCAGTTGTTTGATTTTTGAGTTGTCTCTCCTAGAAGAGTGGCTGTCCCCTGCCAACGAGCCTCATTTGCCCGAGGGTTCGACCTCGGGACTTTTCTGTTTAGCAACCATGAGCTTTACCGACTCGACCACGCCGACCCCCTAGGTCATATTGATTTAAAGATTCTCTTAAAAACTTAACGCTTTTTATAACACATTTTCGACCCAACTTTCCCACAAAAAGTTCTGAATTTCCCTCCCCTAAAATAACGACACACCCTAGTGTACCACTTTTCTCGAAATGGAAATTCTTTTTTTTTTAGACAGCTATTTCTTTATTAAATAACTATCTCGGCCAGCCTTGAGTACATGGATCAAGTTATAATGGAATCCACACATTACAAAAGAAAAGAAGTTCAGTTTCAAACACAACAATTTAAAATTCACAAGTTTTGTCACAACCCCTGACCCCCTTCCTCTCGTCACACAACCTATCAAATGTCCGACCCCCCTCCCCCCTCATTTCAATAAGTGGATTACCCCTTATTGTTACTTTTCTTAAAAGTAATAACAGTTTACTTTTTCAAGGGATGGGGGTTGGGGGTAGAAATACCCCTTTGGCATTATTAACCCGCTTTGGCCAAACTTCCTATGGACAAACTCCTTATAATCAAACCCCCTATGGTCAAAGACCCCCTATGATCAAAGCACCGCTATGGCCAAACCCCATTTATGGTCGAAGACCCCCTATGGTCAAATCCCCGCTGTGGTCAAACCCCCCTATGGTCAAAGCCCAGAAGTGGTCGAACCCCACTATGGTTAAAGACCCCATATGGTCAAAGGTCCGCTGTGGTCAACCCCCCCCCCCCCCCCCCTATGATCAAAGCCCCCCCCCCCCCCATCGTCAAAGAGCATAGCCTCCATGTACTAAATACCATAGCCTCCATGTACTAAATACCATAGCCTCCATGTACTAAATACCATAGCCTCCATGTACTAAATACCATAGCCTCCATGTACTAAATACCATAGCCTCCATGTACTAAATACCATAGCCTCCATGTACTAAATACCATAGCCTCCATGTACTAAATACCATAGCCTCCATGTACTAAAGAGCATAGCCTCGATGTTCTAAAGGGCATTACCTCCCCTAGTCAACATGCTAGCTATGAAAACAGGCTGACCACAGCAGGCTGAAGAATTTTTTCTCCTCTCTTACGTAACCTATCTCTCGACCCGTTGGTTTCTCTGGGCTTTTACTTCTTCTTCGGCATAGAGCGTCATCAGATTAGGGGAGTTGTGATTTGGGAGGAATGGGGAGGGGGAGGGGGGAGGACGCCAAAACACAATCTTTTATGGGTGTCCTACTCCACTTTTCTGTATGGGTGCATAACCTCAGCATCATGTATGTGAGATATTAGCTAGAGCAACGAGGTTAATGTTTTGTAAAAAAAATAAAATAATTATAACTTTAATGGTACGCAGGTCAAAATATTCGCACACGAATGACTTAATTCTTAAGAAAAAATAAGTTAATTAATGTGTTAATTAACTTTGCATGTAATGTTTTGTTTGCTTGTGACTCAGCCAAGTCACACTGACGTCTATAATTAGAGTTGTTCTATTCTATTCACCTTGTTCTTCACAAAGCTCAAAGACCAATTAGAAGGGAAGGTTCATGAATAAGTAACACATTTTGTTTCAAGTTTTTTTCTTCGTGCTCTTATCGTACTATGAGAAGACAGCGCCTTTAATTATTTGTTTTCATCAACACATCTTCTTGTTTCTCATTGGTTTTTTTAATAAATATCTTTGTGTCTGTGATAAGCAGATAATATATCTATTATAAAAAAAACATCAGGTATCTGAATGGACTAGGCGACATCAACTCGCATCTGTTCGTGGTGCGGATTTTAAAAAAGTCCATGTATGTTGGATAGGGAGAAGTTGAACGTGCGCGTTTTGAAGTTATTTCTTAGGTCACATGAAGATAGATCTTTAGATAACTGATTCACTGCGTTATGGGGTTATTACCACCCCCCCCCCAATAAAATACTGTTTCGTAGCTTACGGCAGATGGGGCAGGTGAAGTAGAGTTAACATGTTTTAATGGCCTTTTCATAAAAATGGTAAATGGGTCAAGGACATTACCCCCCCCCCCCTCATCCTGTCAATTACCCCCCCCCCCCCCTGACATTTTTCCCCTTGTTAACTACAACCCTGCACAAGAACAAGAATCCTGACCCTAAAACTAACGCCAAACTCTTCAGACATTTACCGGATGGCGATAGTTGTATATAAAAACAAGCCGTTGCAAATAATTTATAATTTATATTAATTTAGGGTGGCGTAGGCTATCCAGCGAGAATTAGATACGTTCATTTTATTTGTGCTCAAATTTTATTAAATTTAATTTTTAGTTAAAATGTATAAGAGTTTCTTTTTTGGTTTTCTTTCTTTTACTTTTTAAATCTTCAATTATGAGTGATCTACTTTTTTTTTGTTAATAGGCGGTTACCTCCCTGAAATGTTTTGACAAAAATCTGCCACATGAAGGAAATTAAATGAAAGCTGTGTACGAAGCTAACGAACAACTGTTGGCCTATAAAATATTTAAAGTCTGAGATATTTACATTCAAAGCAACGAAACAAACATCTTGATTCAACGTGGCAGACAGTTTGAAATTTAATTTTCTTTTGTCTGTCAAGTTTTTAAAAATTATTTTAAACACATCACTAGTGTGGGATAGGATTATCTTCTCATCACTAGTGTGGGATAGGATTATCTTCTCATCACTGGTGTGGGATAGGATTATCTTCTCATCACTAGTGTGGGATAGGATTATCTTCTCATCACTGGTGTGGGGTAGGATTATCTTCTCATCACTAGTGTGGGATAGGATTATCTTCTCATCACTGGTGTAGGAGAGGATTATCTTCTCATCACTAGTGTGGGATAGGATTATCTTCTCATCACTAGTGTGGGATAGGATTATCTTCTCATCACTGGTGTGGGATAGGATTATCTTCTCATCACTAGTGTGGGATAGGATTATCTTCTCATCACTAGTGTGGGATAGGATTATCTTCTCATCGCTGGTGTGGGATAGGATTATTTTCTCATCACTAGTGTGGGATAGGATTATCTTCTCATCACTAGTGTGGGATAGGATTATCTTCTCATCACTGGTGTGGGATAGGATTATCTTCTCATCGCTGGTGTGGGATAGGATTATTTTCTCATCACTAGTGTGTGATAGGATTATCTTCTCATCACTGGTGTGGGATAGGATTATCTTCTCATCACTGGTGTGGGATAGGATTATCTTCTCATCACTGGTGTGGGATAGGATTATCTTCTCATCACTGGTGTGGGATAGGATTATCTTCTCATCACTGGTGTGGGATAGGATTATCTTCTCATCACTGGTGTGGGATAGGATTATCTTCTCATCACTGGTGTGGGATAGGATTATCTTCTCATCACTTATGTGGGATAGGATTATCTTCTCATCACTGGTGTGGGATAGGATTATCTTCTCATCACTTATGTGGGATAGGATTATCTTCTCATCACTGGTGTGGGATAGGATTATCTTCTCATCACTTATGTGGGATAGGATTATCTTCTCATCACTGGTGTGGGATAGGATTATCTTCTCATCACTAGTGTGGGATAGGATTATCTTCTCATCGCTGGTGTGGGATAGGATTATCTTCTCATCACTAGTGTGGGATAGGATTATCTTCTCATCACTTATGTGGGATAGGATTATCTTCTCATCACTGGTGTGGGATAGGATTATCTTCTCATCACTAGTGTGGGATAGGATTATCTTCTCATCGCTGGTGTGGGATAGGATTATCTTCTCATCACTAGTGTGGGATAGGATTATCTTCTCATCACTTATGTGGGATAGGATTATCTTCTCATCACTGGTGTGGGATAGGATTATCTTCTCATCACTAGTGTGGGATAGGATTATCTTCTCATCGCTGGTGTGGGATAGGATTAACTATGTTGTAAGGGGTCATCCATAAATGACGTCACGCTTTTTTGACGATTTTTACCTCCCCCCTCCCCTCCGTCACACGTCGTCACAAAAGTCAGACCCCCCCCCCCTAAAATCACGTCACAACTCAACCTACACCCCCCTCAAAATTGCAGTTGAGTTTTTTTTAAACATCGATATTTTTCCAAAATCGTGTCTAAACTATTACAATTTATTAAAACGGTTATCTAAAACGCGAAATAACGTCTAAAATTCGTTTTCTAACATTGCTTTTCTATAACGCAAAAATGTGACGTCGCAACAGCTGAACCCCCCCCCCCTCCCCCTCATCACACATCGTCACAAAATTACGGACCCCCCCTCCCCCCTACGAGTGTGACGTCATTTATGGATGACCTCTAATCGGAAGTTGATTGGGGAAGAAATATGGTCAATGATCTACAAGTACAGTAGTTAACTGTCAAAACTGGCCCCGTTTTGTAATTAACCGTCAAATATGGCCCCATATGTTTTGTTGATTCAGCACATTCAAGTTCAAGACATTACATAAATCACACCACCAAATATAAATATATCTATTGGTTCATCATTTGTAATTAACCGTCAAATATGGCCCCATATGTTTTGTTGATTCAGCACATTCAAGTTCAAGACATTACATAAATCACACCACCAAATATAAATATATCTATTGGTTCATCATTTGTACTCTATGCGCATGCGCCCTAACCATTAAACATAAACGGACGCGCCCCAGATAATTTGGGCGTTTACACCAGATCCGATCAAACAAATTTCCACATCGAATAATCAAAATTAGAATTTACTCTCTCCTTAAAGGTTTCTCCAATACATTATACCATTTTTTGTGTGGATGTAGGCCTACAGACATTTTGAAATTGTGGAGTTTTCTCCCTCTACATCCCGCACTAACTAATGTCCCTATCCTTTTTGGATTTGGGGTGGGGTAAGAGAAATGTTGAGGAAATTTATGGGTTGGGAGGAATTGGGGTAGGGGTGGGGGTTGGACGGGAGGGAGAGAAGAGAAACCAAGTCCTAATGCAATAATGCTATGACGTCATGATGTTTATGTTGGGCTGAACTCTAGCGAGAAGCAGGGAGGTAACCGATCTTGTGCAAGGGGAATGAAGCAATTAGCAAGAACGACAATCGACAGGTCGTCGCCGACGTTTTTAAAACGAGTTTGACAGGGCGATGGCAAGAATAATTGCAGCGAGGGAGCGGGGGCGTGGCTAGGGTTCCAGACTTTCGGACCAAGTCAACAAACACCAAAAGTGCTAATCCTTCAGCGTTTCGAGCGAAACAATTTGCTAATTTCTACAGTAAACAGTTTTACAGCGACTTAAAAATATAATCTAAATATAATTTTTTTAAATTGTTAAAAGCATTAGCTTTGTAACAACCAAGCAAAGTTGTCTTTAATTTTTAAAAATGCATTAGGTAAGTAATAAAATTTGAACTTTTTTTATAAAATAATTTCAAACATTTCGTTGAAATAACAATCTCATCTAGTTTCAGTAAGACGGTATGACCTAAAGGAAGAGCGCAAGACTGCTAATCTGAATGTCTCGAGTTCAAATCCGGGCTTAAGTCAGTAGAACATCCCTGAGTCCACCCAGCTCAGATGGGTACCTAACTAATGTTAGGCGGCTGACCACATTAACCTTTGATATGCCAAGTTCAAAAAACATAAGCTCTACTTCATCTGCCCCAATGATCGCTAGGTTTCAAGATGAATCTTTACTAACTTCAGTGACTTATCCAAGTCAAACAATCTGGTCCTTCTACTGGCCTAACAAGGATGAGGTTTAAATGTTAAAATTAAGATAGAAGGCATTAGCTACAAAACTGTCCGTCTGCCATAGAGGGGTAGACAATAGACGAAATTAGAGCGGAGAAAGCAATAGTTGAACTCGGGCACGAAAATATTTATTTAAGTCACTGTCTAGTCTGAACAAAGTGTTAAAGGTTCAGACTGAGGTAAAATCTATCTGACCCATTGACCCACACGTCCAAAAAGTAGTCTAACGTTTAGTAAAGCTGATGCGGGGTAATGAGGGTCTAGAGTGTACGTCTTGTCGCACTAGGTCTCGGGTTTCAAGAGATATCAACTCCTATGACGTTCGCTGTTGAGATCTCATTAAAATAGGTAGCAAAATCTCAGGGTTACAATAGTTACATTGATAAGATACTCGTTACCAAAGTGACTTTTAAAAAATGTTGACTCGCTATGGGAAATACGGAACAAAATATCTTGAGATTTTTTATTTAAAAAAAATATTTAAATGTTAGTTTGCTGCGTAAATACTCGTTAACATAATGACAGGAAGACAATCGTAGTGAAATTTGTAATGGTACAACAGTTGCCCCACCCCCACCTAAGTCCATCCCCCCCCCTCCCCCCCCCCTCAGCACAAGCTCAGTACCATACACAAAAGTAACACAATTGATTTATTCCCATAAGAGAGTTATGACTTAGTAACAGGGTTGCCTACACGTCCAAAACATTAGGCACTCTAGCAGGGGAGAATTCGTGGACTTTGATTTTCGTTTTTTATTTTGTGTGCGCACTTAAATTCTATTAAATTTTTATCATTTCCACATTACTGCTAAATTTTAAAAAATATATCACTTCAGTTTTACACCTTTAAGTGACCTCAAATTACCCATCTGCTATCTAACACCTTCATAATGATACAAAAACACCACCTAGACAACAAAACAGAGATCGGACGAACGTCTGGTTACCATGACAACGAACTCCGGACAGGCCAGCAGGAATGCGGCCACCCAAGTGCAGGCCAGGGCAATCCGAGCCTTCCTGGAGGAGCAGAGAGTCTTGGACGACAGGGGGTGGGCGATCACGAAATACCTGCAGACGACAGTGAAATATTAGACAATGGTGGGCCATCACGAAATACATAGAGAGGGAAAAATAAATAACGAATGACGTCGTTCGATTTATTGGGAAAAAAAACATCAGCACAATTTATTCCTCGTAATGCAAGTTATGTAATAAAAGATCTTTGCTTTGATAGAAATGCGTAAACATAACATTTTTAAACACACCCACTCACTCACCCACCCACCCACCCACCCACCCACCCACACACACACACACACACACACACAAACACACACACTTAGAGAATTGACAAACGCGCACGTATCACACCTCCCCCACCCAAATGCACACACTCGTAGGTTCAGAGTTAATTTATTGTTGAATATTTTTGATCGTGGATACGAATATGTGATTAAGGTTAATTATAAATTGAACGAACTTAATCTTACCACAGCACTCCGTACACGCTGTTTGGTTTGTGGTGTGGTGTGTGGTATGTAGGGTGACCCATTCCTATTTTCTATGGTGTTCTACCCCCCCCCCCCCCCCCATCATGTGTGGGGTGTGTTGTGTTTTGTGTAGGGCACTACTTTATTTATCGTACCAACAGCAAATACAACGTAGCTATTTTCACATTAGGAAAAAAAACGGTAACAAAACTTCGTTTCCCATAGTACTTTGCCCCTAACGAAGTAAGCATCTAAATTACCAACGCCAACGTGAGTGGACGCCGGTGTTTTATTCATAGCTGGAGGTCTGTCCGCACGAGGCTATCAAGAGGAGGGGGGATGACTGCCAAATTGAGCGCATAACTTGTTGTCACTCAATGGTGAAATGGCATTACTGTCCGTGTGAGCGAGGGTCGCAGGCCCACGCGCGTTACCGCGAATAGCCACCACCTCAATTCAAAAAACGCGAGACAACTAATTCCAGTCGTGGACTTGAAATAGAAGGAAGACTAAATCTCGTTGGAAAGCTAAATCTCGTTGGGAGGCTAAATCTCGTTTCAATTTAAACGAAGTGTAAGTTCATGTCCAGTACTCTACAAGAGATCTACTTAAACAGAGGTTTGGTACTTTTTTTTAGAACGACGCCTCGATATAAGGATCCTATCTTTTTTGCTAGAACAGTTACAGTAACATTAATCCTAACCTTGACTGATGCCCTGAGTCACATGCCTAACCCAAATCCTGCCTCTGAGCTCAATTTTAACTTTAATCCTAAACCCATGAACAATAGAGGGATATAGCAACGTGATACTATGCTCGATAATAAATCAACACTCTTTAGATAGGGGAACATTTGAAAGCATGGTTAAAAAATATATGAGTTCTTGTTAAAGAAAACTATTCATAATCTTAAGAAAAATATACAATCACACACTCAACTCGACTGATTGTCTTTAAGTATGACCATCATTCGGCTTACAGCAAGTCAGTAATTAAGACATCGTTTTGACTTCACTTTGGGTAACAAAAAATTGTCTTTCTTCAGATTGCCAAATAAAAAAACAACTATTTAGTAACAACAGGAGGATTAAGATCAAGAGCTTTGAAACCATTAAAATAAATATCTTCGCTATATTACAGAAAGAAATTAGAAGATTGTGTGAGCATATTTGTGTGTGTATGAGAAAGAGAGAGAAAGAGAGAAAGATTAGTATGTCACGGTCTAATAGCGATGTGAAAAAAGAAAATAAAAATAGTCTGGGATAGAGAAACGCGACACTAATTCAGAGACATATAATGAGATGGACACACGAAAGTCTGAGAGCTAAACAAATAATTAGGACACACAAAAGTCTGAGAGTTGAACAAATAATTAGGACACACGAAAGTCTGAGAGTTGAACAAATAATGAGAAGGACATACGAAAGTCTGAGCGTTGAACAAATAATGAGGACACACGAAAGTCTGAGCGGTTAAAAAATTGAGCGCAAGAGCTGTACTTTTTGACCCTTCAATTTTTTGCTCCACCAAAACTTGACAGAAGAGCATTTCTAACGTGGATTAGATCCTGAACCTTCGCCTCGATGAAACAAATAATGACGTAGAAGTTGGTTAAACATGGTTAGGTTGGTCACGGTTGATGATTTCTTGAATAGGTCCGCGGCGAATGGTCTTTCATCTAAACCAGGTATGGAGGCAGGTAAGTGATTGGACGAGGTGATGCTGGGACGACGAACATAGGCACAGGAAGTTGTGTGTGTGTGTATGTTTGTGTGTGTGTATGTGTGTTAGTGTGTGTGTGAGTGTTTCCGGAGGGGTGGGGGTGGCGGCGGAGGGCGTGATGAAATAAAGTGAAGTGCGAGTATTTTATATTTAAAAATCTCACGCTGCTAAAAATATTTTTAAAAAATGTATTGCTAGAACTCTCTCAGAAATTTCTGTTGTTCGATATACCAATCTACACGTTTTATCGCCAGAAATCCTCAGGAAATAAAAGAGATCAAATCTCCTGATTATTTATGCGTGCTTTCTAAAAAATAGGCAAGGATAAATATTCATGTTTATTCATCCAGTTTTCTAATTGCAAGTATTTAATATACATCTTTCATGCAAGTGGTTGAACTGTGTCAAAAATATTGCTCCAGTTTTTAAATTTCCCAGCTTCTCAACTCAACCTAACAAGGTATCATCTCCTTGGGGGGGGGGGGGGGAGGGTTGGACAAAAAACAACGAGCCTTTGACCTTAAACTTGTAAGCCAGTTGTGAAGAAAGAAAGATGAAACAACAAGTACCGTTTTGTTGATATATTAATTATTTTTTTTAAAATGAACTTTTGCGTCAGGTGTGAAAGAAGAAGTAGTCACTACTACCAACTTAAGATTACCGCCCTGTGAATATTTAATCTATCTGGTGATCCCATGCATTTGTGAGTTAGCTGTGAAGAAAGAACAAGCAACCACAATTAACAGTACCATTCTGTTCAACATTGAACCCAGAGTTTCTTCCAGGCATCTCTTAGGGGGGGGGGGGGGGGGGCAAAGCCCCCCCAACGAAATGAAATTTATATAATTTATATAGAAAATATATACTTTTAACAGTGTCCACCCCCCCGAAGAAAGTTTACCGCCCCCCCCCCCCCCGAAGATTTCAAGTGCCCCCCCCCCCCCCCCCCCCCGGATAAAAAAGTCTGGAAGAAACACTGATTGAACCGATGATTACCAATGACCAGAGACCAATTTTTTTTTAAAACGTTGAGAAAACTGTCTTGCAGTTCAAGACTTGCCACAGTTTTCTGTCCTGTCCTCTAACTCACGTCTGTCATGAGAAAGTCATGTCCTTTAACTCACGTCTGAAAGCAATTTCGTGTCGCGTACAAGCAGGAGTTAAGATTTAAAGTACAGGGTAGACAAATACACCAGGACTAATTACATCACCCCCCCCCCCCCTCCCCAATTCCAGGATTCGTTTTTAATTTTTTTTTCTTCAAATTTTATACATAGACAAACATTTTTAAAAATTGAAAGGGCCCATTATTTCCTAACAGCGGAACAAAATTAAAGACGTCACAGTTACTATTTGTCACTGATTTGAATGACTGGTATGTGTTTAATTTTGTAAGGTTTATAATGATTAATTAAATTTGATTAATTTTTCACTTCTAGTTACAACTTCCGCCCTGAAGTTCAATAGAGCAGATGAAGTAGAGTTAATCTGTTTATGTGATTACACAATATGATGAGATAGAGAGTACTTCGCTCGTCAATGCCGTCTTTTGATTTCCCTTTAGAAATCTCGATATGATTCTTGGATTGTATAGTAGGCCTAATTCGTTTTAAATTTATCGTTTTTTACTTTCTGGTATGCAAAGTATAGAGGAAGTATTGTAATAGTGCAAGAAATCGAAATTGAGATTTTCAGTAATCTCGACGTTTTACACCTCCCTGAGTCGGAAAAACATAGTTGCAATTTTGTCCGTCTGTCTGTGTATGTTCTCTCTCTCTCTCTCTCTCGCGCTCTCTCTCTGTGTGCGTGTGTGTGTGAACACAATAACTTGAGTACCGTTACAGCTAGGTTGATGAGAGTTCATATTATATTAGTATTATATCAAATTTGTAGTTCTGTATCAGTTTTTCAGCGGTTTCCGGTAACCGGAAGTGGAACTTGTTCTACTTTTTGTTTTTCAAAAGCCTATAACTTGAGTACTATTTCACATGAATAACGAAATTTAACATATCAATAAAATTTCTAATTTTCTGTCTTCTTTTAAAATTTGAGTAATTTCCGTTTACCGGAAATAGTACTTTACACTATAACAGTTAAATGTATATGAATGTATGTTGCGAGTGTGTGTCTTAAAAAGGCGAGATAAAAAATATAAAATATAGTGTGGGTGTGCGCATGCGCGAAAGAAAAGGAAGCGAGAGGTAGAGAGGGCGCGAACAACATGGCGATGTCTGGGAGTGAATGCGATGCTCTTATGAACCAATAAAATTATGGAAATTATCAGAACAAGGGTTGATTTTTGTTTTGAGTGTGTGCCATGAAATAGGTAGGAGAAAAGCCTGTGACATACACTATTACCGATTTCTCAAAAAAAAAAAAAAAAAAACAACAACACAAAAAAGCAACATCGCATACGAATTTATAAAGTACTAATATTCCGCAGTTATACATATATTGTTTGCCGTTCACTTAGTGCGCAATTTTTTTTCTACAAGATTCATTTCTATTTTAAAAAGGTTTAGCATTTGAAAATTGATTAAAAATCATGTCTATATCCCAAGTTGCCATCCCCAGTAGTGTTATATAAGAATATTCGAGAAAGTTTAGGTGAGATCACTCCCGCTTTATTTAATAACAAACACTGCACCAAAAAGAGCGATATAATTTTTAAAAAAAGATCTATAACAGACGGACGAGAGCACTGAGGAAACAAAGCTAAATGAAAAAAAAAAGCTAGAAAATCTTTTCTTCTTCTTTCTTCTTTTGTCTGACCTATCGATTGCCTGTCAATAGAGAATTTACACACGTGAAATTGTTTCAAGACTTCGGCTTAGTAGCTGAGATACGAAACCAACG